GATGTCAGAAGGACTAACTATCAGTCACAGAGAGATAAAGAATGAGCAAACACACTCTCTGAAAGGTCTAGTGCACAGAATGAAAAAGACTAAAAAAGAAATTGTTAAGGATATGTATTTTAGTGCTTTACTTGGTTATTTAACTGTTTTTGAAGTAGGACACTTTCAAGCACCTGCACCATTCACCTGCAACCTCTCTATAGCTGGGAGGGTGTCTTAATGCTGCTAATGGCAAAAAGCCAAATTCAGAAACAACCAACCAGTTTAGAAACAGCCATCCCCATCACTCACCATTGCTACCCAGAAGCTGCAAGGACGGAATGCTGGAAAAACTTTTGCTATATTATAGTAATTATCAAGACTGACCTTTTCCTGATTATTCACTGGATGTTTCAAACAGAAGATATGTGTTTTGACTCATAATTTTGAAAGCTACTAAAATGACTATCCGGTTGCTGAGAGGGGGAAGAAACTAAGCAGATCTTTTCATCTTTGAAAGAAACAAGAAATCCCTAACATCAACCTCCACTACAGTGCTTATTTTGGTTTTAGGCTGGGTTTTTGGTTGGTTTTTTTTCCAAGATCTTATTCCCAGGGTTTCATTCTTCCCTCTGAAAGCCTAAGATAAGCCAATACCAAGAGGCAACAATTTTTTAAAACTACTTAACTCTTACTCTATGGTTATTTTAAAATACTTAAGAACATAATATAAGTAAAATTCATGAACACTGAGCATAATCTACTTTCCTGCATTTTCTGAAATCATTTCTATAGCATTTCATCAATGCAAAAATCATTATCTTCAAAGAGAGTCTTTAGTTTACTATCAGCAGTAGCTTAGAGTTAAAAAGAACTATACATACACTGTTTAGGCTACTCCCCAAAATACAAAAATCTGCTGTTCACAAGAAACTTTCAGCTACTGGCAATAAAATTCTTTGAAAGAAACAAAACAAAACAACTAACTACTCCCTCCTGACCAAGGTACTATTCAAATTATTGAGATAAAGATTGGAATTTTTCTTCCTCTCACTCTTATAAACACTGGTTATAATTATGGCTTAGGTTGCAACACAATGATTACCTAATCAGGAGCTGAAAAAGTAAAAGTAATCATGGTCAAGAATTTTCCAAAAAAGAATAAGGACATTTTTAAGCTACCCTACAAACTACCCTGGAAAAACCTTAAGCTACCCTGGAAAAACACCACCCAAAGTAACAAATCTGATTGCCTATGGTTAAAAATTAAAGACAGAGCTATTACAAGAACCAGGAAAACAGGGACTCATAAGGAGACAGCAACCCTCCTAGTCTCATTAAGACTAATTAAAAGCACTTGGCTTGTTAAGTTTAATAAAACTAAACTGAAGAAGAAACATAATGGCCTGCTATAAATGCATGAGTAGATGGCTAAACACAGAACAAGAGGACAAAAAAATGGCCTAAAAAGCTTAGTTAAAAGGTTTTTGACCATCAAAGGAAGGTAATACTTGAATCAGTTTTTCAGTTAAGACTAGTCAAGGCAGAAACCCCCCTCCCAAAAGCTTAAGAAGAAACTTTTAATTAATACATGGGATCATATACTGTGGTTCCCTATAAGAGTAAAGGAATGGGTTCAAGGTTTCTTTCCTAAGGAATGAAAATCAAAGATTGTTTTTGAACTACACAAATTCCTATTCCAAAATCCAAGCAGAAATAACACTTCAGAAGAAAAAATGTTGAAGATACCCTATTTCTCTTTTAGATTAAATCTACTTTTGTAAAGAGACTTAAATGGAATAACCTCCTCAGATTTAATTAATTTACTTGAGTCCATTAATTGAATTGAGACTTTCTTCAGCATTTCATGTGCTCATGAGAAGACTATATGCAGCCTGAGGTTGATGGTGAAACTGCTTGAAAATGCTAAATACTCCCTGTTTACACCAACAATTTTAAAAGCTACTCTGACTCTGAGAGAAAACTATGTACTTCAGTGTGAAAAGAATCCTTTCTTGGAATTACTAGACATGGCAAAAACTTCTCTCTAGTTAAATCTTCATTTGCATCAGAAATCAAATTCAGGTCCACCCCCAAGCTGATAATTTACAAATGATCCTGTGTCTAGACAGGATATTTACTTCTGGAAAAGACCAGAAAGAAGTAAATGTAGAATGCCTCCAAAACACATATACCTGCCTACGTAGCAAGAAAAGCAGATATGGATATTACATTCTTGGGGGGCATATAAGTATTTTGTATAATTATTTCGACAGTGCTATTTACAGGCCACTTCGTAACAGTCACAAGTCAGCTTCTCAAAAACAGCCCTCACATTACTCCAAAAAGTCCAACTGGTTAAACCGTAAGGCTCAGGTAGTCCAGTGGAATTCACCACCAACTCACTTTCTATGTCTCCAGCTGTGTTTTCATTCACTTACAGGTGAATCACTGAATTAATTGCCTGGTATCAGTATCTCCTGACACTATTCCTCTTGGAAACAGTCTCATTCTCTTCCTTTGGGGTCCTGAGCATTTATTGGTTTCTAAAGTAGAAAACAGTCTTTTGGTGCAAATGCTTACTATTCCCATAGGTGTAAATACATTGTTCCCATTCTCTGACACTGGTACATAGCTGAAACTATATGGTAAGGCTGGAAAAGTGAAACTTTGCTGAACAGGCTAACACGGTCAGGGAATTCGAAAATCCACGCTTGACACAAAAAGGAGAGAATAAAGACATGTCCAAATATCAGGCCGAACAGGCCAATTCTGAAGACGCTTCAGAAAAATGGGTCACATGGGCTTTCCAGTTTTCATCCCATTCCTAGGGACAATGACAGGTTTTCCAGGAGGTTCAGTTTCTATTCATGATCAAGAGGAAAAAATTTAGCACCTTTCTATACTTTTACACACAGCCATCATATTTTACAACAATGAAAAAAAAGACAACACAGAAGAATTTACAGTCCGGGATTGGTAAAAGCATCTTTTTACCTTCTTTGAAACTCAATTAGGAAGGCACACATTGCTCTATAAATTAACTAGGAAGGTTACGATCTGTCTCCTGGGAAGTACCAATTCAAAATTCATTTCTAGTTGTGCATGTTTCACATGCAGAATTAGGATCCTTGTCAAGTGCAATAAGCCATCTCTTCCAAGAAATTCCTATCAAAATGAATTACTGAAATCAAGAAGCTGGATGTAATAATTCTCCTCTTTCCGTTTCTCCTTTATGACCTTGTGCAGACAACCTGACCAGATGCCCAGGATATGAAACTATGAACTGCATCTTAACCACATGATGTCTAGAGAAACATTTGTTCTTTACTGAGAATTTTGAATGCTTAACTGTGTTGCTGTATAAATCACTTTTCTTATAAGAGTTAGATGAAGACAACTACTACAGCTTTCCACAAGGTGGCACAGTTCCCTTTGCTGAAATACAGCATTACTATGTCATAGAGAAATTTTTTTTCACCCCCCCCCCCAAAAAGTATTGGCAAATGTCATCATTTAGTTTAAATAGGTTTTAGATCTCTAACACATCTCTAACAAGGCTCAATTTAACAAACAGTTAATTGTTAGATAGTTAATAGTTAAGATAGTTTAATGAGTTAAAAAAAGGCTGCTTTCTCTTATGCTGAAACGAAGAAAAAGTATCTGTGCTTGCTACCACACAAAAGCAAGCTTCAATCAAAGACAGTTAAGGCACCTAATACGGCAGTGGAGAGACTAAAGGGCTAAAAAAAAAAATCTGTTTTTTCCAAATCATCAGTTTCAAATCCTATGACTTCTTTCAGTCTCTCAGTATTTGGAGTAAAATGGGACTAGCAAGGAATCCATCTACCCCACTCCCTTCCCATTCATGTGAGAATTAAAGATCCCAGAGCATTTTCCACAGGTGAAGATTTTCCCTGCTGTTTATGGACCACTTCCTGTCCCTGTGACATATGGCCGTGCTTGTCCTGTCCTTAGGGCAGAGGTAGATTCACTAAACAGCTCTGCTCTCAGCCTCTCCTACTGCACAGCAACATCAGTGCTGCTGAGCTTCACCTGCAGGACCACACATACAGTCAGCTACTGTCCATGCATAACACCCACATCAGGAAGAAAGCAGGTAAGATGCTTTGACTCAAGTGATTTTAAAAAAGTCAAAAACATGTATAGTTTCTCCTCTATTTCTTGTCTCGCTCCTCTCAGTCACTTCTACGAATGTTTCAGTGCTCAGTTCTGATTCTGTCAGTCACTGCAGGTGTATGGTACAGCCCTTATTTAAATTACCTGGATTTCCAATTATAGAGATTCACATACATCCTTAAAAATGGATGCAAGTACAAGGCAGAACTATCAGGACAAATCTTGTCTTGAAATATATATGCAAGCATTCAAAACCTTCTGCTGCTATTTTCTCCTCAAAACCCTTAGATTACAACAGTAAAGGCTCTGATCTAATTATGGTGCTTGGTCACATAATGATCTAATTTTTCTTTATGAATTGCTTTCTCAAAATAGGTTGCATCTTCTCTTCTAAAATACAAAGTTTCTTATTCTAAAAAGTAACTTCCTACTAGGTGCGAGTTCAAGTAGACACATCAAAAAGGAAGAGTACTTTAAAAAGGGACAAACTTGAAATTAAAGAGCAAATTCTGCCACTGAATGCCCCAGGAAGCTATCCAGCCATGACAAGCAACAGAGCCCTCTCTCACTCAGAACGGAAAACTCACTTAGTTGTGCAAGAGGACAGTTATCACAGTTGGACAGTAGAATCTTGAGCTCTACAATCAAAATTCCTGGCCTCCGTAATTTTAAAATAAGTCACACTTTCCTGATCAAACTGAATATAGCTTTAAATCTGCAAATTCCTTTGATGGAATTAGTCGTGCATAGTCAATCCACATTGTACCAAGAGGAGGGGTACAGTTAATTTCAAAACTTAGGAGACATTCTGCACCTTGCAAGTTTACGTTTACAACTGCAAAATTTTTAATTGTTCTTCTATTGCAGATTTTCTTACAGACCTTGGCTTCTGGATCACTGTTGATGCTACAAGAATCATCATCATCAGACTGAGGACCATTTCTGTTAGAGGGGAAAAAAAAAAAAGAGACAAACTCAGTCTTAAATTACAGCACAATACAAAACAGAGCTGGTCGCTCCACTGGAGTTATTGTACCTGAGCTTCAAAGAGGCATAGCGTAATGTTGCTCCTTCAAACTCTTTCAGACTTGGGTCTGGGTTCACAGTGGCTGCATGCAGATCCTAGAGATAGAGGCAGTGCTATTAGTATAGTTTTAATACTATTAAAATAGTATTAAATACTATTAAAATAGTATTAAATACACCATCATATTATTTCTTATCTCAAAGGGAAATTAAATCCTCCCTGCAAAGAAGCGATAGTATTTCTGGCTGAAGTTGAAAAGAGGCATGCATATATTTCTCAAGCTGCATTTCATTCAGTGCAGGCATCTTATTTGTTACATCATGGCAGTTGCCCTGCTAGTTTAGACTGAATCCATTCCAAGTGGAAAGATCAGAAAAGGCAGCATGTTTGTGAGCTAGACATCCCTAGCAGTACCCCCACTCACTTTGGCCTAGGTTATGAATGACATTCATGGAAAAATAAAAGGGGAAAAAAACAGCCACTGCCATGCAAAAAACAAGGGTAATAGTATTAAAGGTTCTAAAATCTGACAATATACTTGCCTTCCAAATGTCACTATTAATCTTTCCCCCATTCAGTACAGCAAAATCACTCCATGGCTGTTTCTAGACACATAATTATTCACACAGGAAGAAGCACATTGATAAAAAAAAAAAGAAAAAGAAAAAAAAACACAAGACACTGTTGTTAGCATTGATATTTACAGGATGGGTTAGGGAACAGATCACCTCAAACTTCAACTACTTACTACACTATACTATGGCATTTGGAGGAAAGGGGAGAGAAGACATGCCTCTAACAGTTACTTACCAAAACAAATGATTGAAACAAGGAAAGTTAATATAAATTAGGAACAGACAATGAAATTACTCTTTAACTATGGTCTTAAAAGCAAGCAAAATGAATCTGAATATGAATGTTGGCCACAGCTGCTACAGCCTTTGATAAACAGCAATTAAGGGGAAACATTAGGATTTCCATTTGAATGGCATTTTTGTTAAAAGACCCTAACATTACTGGAACTAGAAATACTGAAATACAGCAATATATACAAAGATAAGAAACAAACAAGGTAAAAATCAAATATTTCTAGAGAGAAAGCACAAGAAAAGGACAAGGAAGGTAAGGAGGATTAGTAATGAGTGCAGAGATTTCTTGCTGAAAAAGTAGTTTTCAGAAGTCTAGCAGCTTTTTTAAAAAACAAACCAAAGCAAAACAAAGCACCTACCCTCTCATTTTCTATTCAAATTTCTCAAAACTTTGGTATAATCAAGCAAGTAGCAGTGCGTTTAGCACTACAACAACCCGAGGTTCAGCCTTTCCTGTAAAGCCTGAGAGGAACAGCTGATGTTGGAGCTGCCTCTCGACTCTACCCCACCAGGAAACAAATCCCACAGTCCTGAACAAAAGCCAGGTGGGACAGGAGATTTCACTGTTGAGCACCAAATCAAGAATTCCTGAAATTAATTCCCCTTTTAAGATGAGTTCTCCCAGGCTGACCAGCTCAGCCTCCAGATGAAGTGGTTAATTTGGCCCAATGCATTAATATGCAGGGTGGACTTCTCACCTCAGAAGTGTTCTCAGCATATCCCCACTGGAGGAATGCTGCTTGTGAAAAGCAGCTCATGAGTACCCCTTCCCTAACATGCCTACAAATTAATTGATTTGTTAGCTTTTCCTACCAAGTCCCTTTTTTTTAATTATTAGTGGTTTATGTTAACTACAGAGGTGATCACAGAGGTGATCCAGGCCTGGGATGAGTCAGGCTATAAGACACAACTACCTTCACCAAACTCTGACATAATCTCAAAGAAACTCTTATTGAAACTTAAACCCTACAGCTTTTTATCTGCACAGGAAATGGAAAAGAGGCAGCAAAATTTCTAAAATTTGGAAGAGAACATTACAAAAGACAAGGACTCAAAAAGGAAGTAATTTGGCAACACACAAGAGAAAAGAGTAATCTAAAACCAAGTCAAATTTAAACAGCTGTGCAAAACTAAAATACATTTTCATGCCTCTGAGGTGGAGGAAGGGAAGGAATGTTACAGGTTATTCATATTCAGCATTTATTAGCATTTTTGTTAAATCAGCAGGATTTTCACATAATGCTTAACCCATAATTGCTTTGGATTGAAATTTACTGATCGTCTTGTGAAAGAAAAAATGCCTTGCACTCTGTGTAAAAGTAAGACATTTTCACATTTTTTTCCTTTTTAGAACGCTTTTTGCCATCAGTATGCATTACAGCATCATTTGTCCTACCCATTCTTTTTGATTCTCTGTTCAACAGTAATAACTGTTTTTCTTTATGCTAAATACCCAGAGTAAGCTACCAAATAAAAATGGCTGACTTGATCTGTTCTTTGTGGACTGCCTTCAGCTGTGAGCCACATTCTAACAAATGAAGCAAAGCTTCTGTATATTACATTATTTAAGAGACAGGGACACAAGGAAAATAAAATGAAGGGGAAAAAAAAGAGGAAACAAGACAAAGGGTAAAAAGATGTTACTGTGGGGGAAGAAAGTGCTTCTAAATGTTTACTTGACGAACTCAAAAGCTGAAAGAGCCCAAATAAACTCACCTCACAACTAGCACATGACGATTCACAGCCAAATGTGACCTAGATAAAGGATTTTTATGGACTCACAGAAGCCTATTGGGACAGATATGAAATGCTACCCATGCCACTCTTCAATCCTAGATTAATCTCTTCCATATGCCTAAAACCTGTATACCCCCCACCCATTTAATAATAAAGCAATACAAATTCCAGCATGGGGGTAATGAGCTAAACCAGTCCTCTCCAAAAAGATTATCTTGGAGCACAGGCTTCCAACAGCAATGAGAGAACCAGCAATACACAGCTCACGTGTGGATTCAACTTGGAGGTGGAAACTCTCCACCACAGCTGGTGCAGCCAGTCATAGTACTGGGATAAAGGTATTTGGGAGCCCCTATTTTAGATCAAATTCCACATCTTATGTGAAATGTCAGATTGACCACATCACAGACACCTGTATTAATCCTTCACAGGGAGGGAGAGGAAGAGCACTTGGGCTAGGTTGCAGTGCAGCAAACAGGAACTGAAACAAATATCCCCTGCAAGTGACCTGGAGATGATTCAGTGCTGGCATGTACCAATTACAGAGAGACAAAACCCTAAAACTTCATGGCCGCTGATATTGTCAAAATTATTTCATTACCTATCCCTATCTCTTAAAAACACACTGATTAATTTTCCTCTCACTACTTTGTACTGGAGTTCTGCTCAGAACCAGCTGAATCACAAAGCATTCTTCCTCCAGTTCCATTGTAATAAAGCTCCAAACCTGTGGTTTCAAGAAATGCAACCACTTCTTGAATGCTAACAGTTCCCATTATAACTCCAGCTATGGCTGTTCTTTGTAGCAGTTTCTGTGTTTGGCAGGGGACAAAGTCCAGAGCTCAATTCATGCTCTTGTTTTGAACTCTGTTAGTGTAAGTCTGCTGGTACTGCATTGCAATTCTATCTTAGTAACCTTTGAGTCAAAAAAACAGTACTGTTTCAATAATGCTAAGACGCTTATCAATGAATGCAGAAACCTGCAAAAAACCTTTGTCTATACCTACCATAAAAATAATCATATCATACCAATACAAATTTTGGGAATGTATTTATTTTCCATACTGTCTTTTATGCCACAGTATGTGGTCTTGATGTGAAAAGCATCTATAACTTACTAATTAAAGTCCTGTTCTCCACATTTTAGAGTAAGAAAAATAATGGTAAAGTTATATCCCTCTTGCGTACATTACAGGAATTTATACTGGAAACGTGCAGCATTGTACATTCAGCATGTCTAGATTTTTTCTTATTTTCTTGTACTGGAATGGTAACAGTTGCAGTTCTTTCTCCATGAATCCTCTCAGAAATAACTTCCAGCATGCCTGGTGCACAGTACACTACATGGGAGCTTGACTGATGTAAACCATAACTGAAATGTGGTGGTCAAGTTGCAAGTCTTATGAATAGCATTTATGAACATGTTGGGGCAATCTTTCTAAAATAACGAACAAGACTGTGCATATTTAAGGCTATAAAAGATAAAAGTTTCAGAGGCAAGATGGTAATATATACTTGAACATCCTTAACACCTCTTAACTTCTATTTAAGTTAGTTTGGTGCACATATGAACAAAATTAAGAACAGATGAAATGCTGTATCTAAATGAATTAAACAACAAACCACTAAGGACTGTCTGATCAAAAACTCAAAGCCAGTACAAAGACTTCCCTTGATTTCATAAAGCTGCAGACATTTTCCTGAAAAGTTAGTATGAAGAATAATTAATTTAACACCAAATTTATTTTGTATTACTATTTAATTCCACAGATGTCTCCCCAGTATACTAAAACAAAGTGATTGTATTTTTTTGTCGCATACTCTTCTTTATGATAATTGATTTTATTTTTCTACTTACATGACTCCAAACAAACCTGTGGATTGTGCCTGAAAGGATTATTTTAGAAGGCAGTATCCCATACTGCTCTTTCAGCACATGTGGAGGAGAGTGTGTACTTTATTCTATTTGTAGTTAAAGACTGACTGCAACACACTGATAGATATTTTGTACTGGCAGGGTGTACAGAGACTCACACTTGAGAACACTTCATGTTTATTCAACAGAAAGCACGCTGTAAAGGAACTAGTGTCTCAAATGAAGACTCATATGTCTTTTTGTGATACTCCCACCAAATGAACCAAAAAGAAAGAAGATGCCAACAAAGAGTTTGGCCAAAAGACTACTATAATGTGCAAAAGTTTTATGTATCCTGTATCCAAATAATGCAGCAATGCTTCAGCATATGCTACAGAACTGCATAAGTTTCACATTCATCAGTGACTCATTCATCAGTCACTGGCTGCCTAATTTATCTGAGACATGTTTGATTTCATCCTACATATCTAAAGTTTACGGTGTTTTATGAGGTAAAACCATTACAAAATGAACACAGAAAATACATACTTACGATGCATTATCAAAAAGTAGCTACACTTTGGGACATTATCAGGCCAGTTTAGCTAACAGTTAAACCTGCAAGTTCAAAAAGTTATTTCAATTTTCTTTACAGTATGCAGCCCACAAGAAGACACAGTATGTTACCTCAGTTTCTGGAGTAGGAGACGGAGTAATGGAACCAAGAGATCCTTTTCGTGAGCCCTGGAGATCTGTTGGGATGGACACAGGACGCTGCCACTGAGTTGTTCCTGTAGGTATGTGCCAGTAGTAGATCCCAGCAATGTCATTGATTTTTTTCCAGCCTGGTGGTAAGTCTGGGTCTGTCTGAAATGAATGATCACTCCATATATCTGCTGTGAACAGGAAGAAAAAAAAAGAATCACGCAAAGACACAAACAGCTCTTCCATGGGTCCGCACAGCTGGTACTGCTGTTGTACAGTTCTTGTGTAAATGAACAACAGAAGAACATACTAAATTATTGAGGCTCAAAGTAATGTGACAAAGCCTGGTTTTGGCATATAAAGAGAGGAAAAAATGGCACTACTTACTGAAGACCTGTTGTAATATGGCAACTATCCAGTATCATCAGATAGCTCTTCTAGTAAGATTTAGCTTCAAGTACCTTAAGTCACAGCATAGAAAGTAATATTTGGAATTGTAGTGTACTCTATCCTCTTCATCAAAGCACCTTCCCTTCTCAATGCATGGCAGCAGTACTGATGAGCATTTCTCCTCACAAAAGTCAGCTTACCATAACAGAAACCCCTCCACACCAATGAAAAAAACCACACTGGGTTGACTTTCAACATCTAGAAGACTGCTTGTTCTAAACAACAAGAACATGAGAACTGAGTGATTATTTCACACACACCCTCACTGTCACAAACGAACATACTGTTTACAATTGGTTTTACAACGGGGTAGAAAAGAAACCATCAAAAACTCATTCACAAAGCCAAGGCAGAAATTAAATACTGGCACTACTGACAAACTTCCTGCTAATTTAGGAATGCACCAGCAATTCATACTGCAATTGGAGACATTCCCAGATTCACCTGGAATGCGTGTAAGAGATGTCACTGGTGGAAAGCATGCCCTGCCTTTTTGGAAAGGCAGGGGCACCACTTCTGTGCAAACCAGACGTACCCCAGCAGAGGCAGTTACCTTCTGCTGGGTATATGCTTTCCAGAGGCTGGGAAGGGAGACAGTGCTCTTCTAAACTTCCCAGATAAACTGCTTTGTTTGTGTTATTCTGGTACATGCTGTTAACCAACTGCTATGATCTACTCCAAGGACCATCGAGCTGTAGAAAGAAACAAGCAACCTCCTGGACTGATGTTTCCACAAGCACTTGAGCAGAGATGATGAAGGCTGACTGTAGCACAGTGAACTGAGCTAGTGAGAAAAACCCCCAAGAATACCAATGCTCACCACACCAGCGAGCAGTGTTTCATCTAGTCCAGCAACTTGTTTCTTACCTTCAAAGACAGTCCTCAAAACTCCTTCAGTGGGCAACAGATAATAAATAATCTGTTGTTATATTGCTGCTCTTAATCTCTTTTTGGAATTAAAAATTCCTTATTAGTCTAACCTTCAAGCCTCTTTCTAGGTGTTTTATCACGATTGCTTATTTCTGAATCTCCCTCATTTCTGCTACCCGCATTTATGCACATACATACAAACAGACACACAAAGGGCATGATAACTTAAAATAACTCTTACACTCCATGGCACGAACCAGACTATTTCTTCCCCAGAATCACTTATAAGTTCTTAAATTACTGATTTACCATTTGATGAATAATCTAAGCAAATTCTGCAGAAGAAATACTAAAGAATATAATTCCACTTAAATTCAATAAAGAGTCTCACCCGTGGCCCAATATCTGAAATCAGCAACATTCATATATTCAGTTCCAGAAGTTCTCAAATATTCTAAACACCTGCTTCTAAATGTCCCCTGTTGTAGCCTCTACTGCATTTAAATACATAGTTCCTGACTCCAAGGTCTTACATGTTTTAAAGGACATTCATCTTCAACCTTGCTCATTTTTGTTTTCCAACTGAACAACTCAGCTGCACTCTTTTCAACCACATAAAAGGAAATTAAACACAAAACACTTTCTACAATTTTATCACATCATGCGAGAAGTAATGTGATCAAATATCCAAACATACACTGAAGTATGTGTGGCAATATCTGTGACTCCAGATACCCTTGGATAAGTTTAAATAACCAGTTCGTAAAATTCCAAAATATCGCAATAATGCCAATGTTCCTAGAACTTACATATTGGGTAACGCATCCCAGGATAGCAAAATAATAAGTCTTTATTATGCAGAGAGGCAGAGCTTCAGATCAGTTCAGGTTCATACCATTTACAGAATTAAACAGACATACTTCAACACTGATAGGACACGAAATGTTATTCTCCTCGCTTAAGGTAAGCACAGCTTCTGTCCTTGCTATACATACATACATATGCATACACAGCTATTCAAATATCCAGTCAGGAAAGTGTTATGCCATGGCTGCATTAAACTACTAATTTCAAACTAATCAACCAAACACGCAGAGGAACCAGCTTATTGTTATTTATTGTTGTCATGACATGCAGTACCAGAAAGACCTAACAAAGAATTACTTTCAAGTAAAAGCAGACAAAACTCAATAGCAGAAAAACTGTTAACCCAGAGACCTAAACCAAAAAGATTCCTGCAACACTTAGAAAAGAAGAAATGATCTTGTTTGTGAACGAACAGTTGGAAGGAAATAATGTAAAATATCTGGGAGCACTCAGGTAAGAAAACACCACCTGGATGTAATACTAATTTACTTTGAAAATTTATCCATTAACAAAAATAAATACACCAAAATATGTTTACATATGCTTGGAAATAAAACAGGAATTAAATTTCGGGTTTTTTTCAATTAACATTGCTCAGGACTTTCAAAAGGCTGCATTTCCACACAAATTGCCTATGATATATGCCTGTGCACAAGAGGCATGTTGCTGGTGTGCAGGTACTCCTCACACAGAAAGACTGACCTCAGACCATCTGATAAGCATGGCTGAACAGGAAAGCAACAGATGGGATGTACTCATACTGAAATACCATTCCTCATGTTTGTTATGCAAAGCTGTATATCAGTCCAACTCCGTTGATATGACATAAAACAATGTGCATGAAACATCCAGTAGGAAATAAAACTGATCACACTGGACTTCTTAATCTGAAAGTGAGAATTGCTCTCATGTCTGCAAGGAACTTTTCTCTGATTCCTTCCAAGTCATCCCCAGGAGATGAAATTCTACTTGGCATCTCCTGGCCTTTTCCATGCCTTTCTTTATGCATTTGTTGATGAAAGGTCAATGAATCAGGACCTCATGATTGCTTACAAAGCTTCTGGGTTTGAAAGTATCATTGCTCTGAACTTTAGAGCATGATTCACAAAAAGAATGTATCCTTTTGTACCGGGATTGGTTCACCTACCACATTTATTAGAGTTAACCACGATCCCCTGAAAAGCTATACTGTTAGACATTTCTGATATAAAATGCACAAAGCAACAGGAGTAAGAAAAAACAACACTGAACTAGAATAAAAGAGGCACTGTAACTAAGCTGTATGAGAAAGCAGACACTGGGTTTCCTTAAGAAACCTTGATTCATATTATCCGTGTAAGCTGTCTTTCTACAGCAAGAAAGAGACAAATTCTTATCAACTGAAAAACTAATTTAAAATGTAACCAAAACTCTGCACAGGAATGAGTTATATCTTTACCCAGGCACCATGCAGATTCACACCACATTGCAGACTTTTGAAAGCCCTCTCTTTCTCAAGGGAGAAAGCCCTTACTGAACAGGGTGGCCCCACTGCCTAGATACACCCTGGCGATGAAGTCCAAAGTCAGCCTTCATCTCAGGAGAGCGGACAGTCAGCCTGCAGCTTACCCTTCACCTCAATTTCTATCCCTGTCCAAACACAGGGTGCACGAAAGCTGCCACTAGCAAGGGAGGCAGCTCTCATCCCAGATCTGCCCACAGTGGCACAGACATGCCGGTGAGTCCTCATCAGCAAGCCTCTGCTTGGAAAGCTACCTCAGATTCGTGTCACCAGCTGACTGCTGAATCAGAGTTAGAAATTCACAGCTGGTCTTCTGCAGGCAGAGTCACATGAAGAGAGGGGTCACCAACAGAGGACAGATGTTTTTCGGTTGGATTTTTATCTCACGAAAGACAGATGCTTAAACTCATGTCCATACAGGGGGAAGATCCGCAAACCAGCTATTCATGGAGATGTTATTACAGAAGAAGCATGACCCAATTCTGGTGAACAAAGATTACAGTAAAGGAGATGCAGTAGAGGATTTTGAGGACAAAAATGGAAGATTGCATAAAACCATGAATGATGTGACTTAAAAGAAGAAGCTAACTCAATCTGAGGAAAACCAACTGGGCTTTCCTGCCTCCATCAGGAACCTGGAAAGGCCCATGGGAAACCAGATTTTCCCCCCACTACCTAAAGCTTGATTAAGAGTTGGAGATAGAGTCCCTTCTTATGGGGTCCAACACGATGGGGCACATGGTTTCTGCCCAAAAACCTTTGGCACTGGTCTCTGCAGAAATCGGAGTGAGGAATTTGCTTGTTGCACCCCACCGTGCAAGCCTTTGCTTCATGTCTTCAGAGACTCAGCAACACAGGGCTGATCAGAATGTTTTTAGAAGAATGCCAAAATTATGAAAAAAAAATAAAATAATCAGAAGTGAAAGTCCAAGGGGAGGGCAGTGGCTGCAATGTCCATTCCCTTTTAACATCAAATGGGGAACTAGTTGGTTGTTTCTCCTTAAAAATTAAAGAGAAAGAACAAATTTAAAAATACTCAGTAAGGCTTTAGAAAAGCAACAAAGATATTTTTGAAAGGTATAAATAGTTTTATAAATAAATAAATAAATACACAGTTGAATCTGATTTTTTGCCTAAATGGCTGAAACATGAAGCCTGTAATAAAAAAAACACAGTAATAAAAAATACAGCCTTCATCCTGATATCATTAAAGCTTCAAAAATACTAGAAAAATGAAGTCTGTTATACAAAAAGAAATTGTTAATTCACTCTTTTGAAACAACTAGCAATAGACATGTACTACCAGAAAACCATAAACACAGTCATATTTAACTGCTAATTTTGACTAGGAGAGCCTTGTGAACACATTTTGTATTCTAAATAAGATAGGTTAAAGTCCACATAATGTAATATATTTCTGTTTCTCCGTTCTCCAAATGTCAGCCTCTGCCAATTACCTGATATAGAGCAGTAATAAATTCCATGCTGTAGCAGTAGTTCAGA